GGCCATGTAACAAAAATCTTGAAATATTTAACGACAAGTCCCCCAAAGACCAAAAAAATGCAACAGCTATAAAAAAAGTAGTGAACAAGGGCAACCTAGCCATTTATCACCCTTACGTGCTTCTTTCATGTATACAGAAACGGGACTCACTAAAGCCCAATATGAGAGAATACGAGAAACAAACAAATGATTTTTTCCGTACTACTCTGTTCTCCAAAAAGTAAAAAAGAATGCTATCCGGAAATTCACCTTGTAACAGAGACATGTGCTGAAGTAAGGATGCAAAAGTTGATAGATCACAAGGCAACACCACTGATTTTACATCTTGGGGAAGTTATAGAATGTTTGAGTGATAACGAAAAACGATCCTTAATTATAATCAGCAAGTGGGGTTGTGACGGGTCACAGCAGATATAATATAAAATTAAGTTTGATCATGAATCTGATTAAGATGCCAATATATTTCAAAGCTCTGTAGTTCCACTTTAATTCGTTTATGGGCCGAAAAGAAAACACTATGGCAAAACCCAACACCATCATCACCTCGATATTGTCGACCTATACGAATAAAATTTATTAAGGAGACAAGTGATAAGAAACGAAGAAATAAATTATATTAAATCAAAAATTACTTTAATTTCCCGCACACAAATTGAAGGCATTTCCATAAAACATAAAATGTTATTCACCATGGTGGACGAAAAGGTGTGCAATGCCGCAACACATACCAAATCCACGAAGGTGCTACATATGTGATGCTACTTCATCAGAGTTTAATGACTTAACAAAAAAGGCGTGCAAGAAAGAAAATTTAAATTTTGGTCTTTCCCTTCTATATGCTCGCATACGTTTTTTAGAGAATATATTACATGTAGCATATAGACTACCTGTAAAAAATGGAATGTTCGCCTTTCTGCTGAGGAGAAACAATTGGTAGATAGTAAAAAAAAAAGAAATTCAGAATGAATTCAGACAACAACTTAGGCTTTTAGTCGATATCCCTAAAGCAAATTTTGGGAACACCAATGATGGGAATACCAGCAGAAGATTTTTTGAGGATTACGAAATATCGGCGACAATAACAGAAGTTGATAAAAATTTAATATATCGGCTCAAAGTGATTTTGGATGCATTGTGTTGCAGATATACAATAAATGTAGCTAATTTGAAAAATATTGCCAAGAAACGGCTGAACTATACGTGTCTCTATAAGGTTTTTCCCCCATGTCCCCTACACTGCACAAGGTTCTCCGTCATGGAGCAGATGTCATAGAAAAAGCTATTCTTCCGATAGGGCAACTATCATAAGCTGCTGAAGCTCACAACAAGCATATAAGGTTGTATAGATTGAACTACCCAAGAAAGTTTTCACGCGTCTCTTGCAATAGGGATGTCCTGAATAGACTTCTTTTAACTTCTGACCAATCCCAATAAAACGTAGTTATGTAGTAGTTAGAGGTACAAAATATTTGTGGCCTGGTTTTGGGTTTAAATACCACACTGTGCGGCGGTTAAATTACAATTATTTAAGTTTAAAATAGTAACAAAAAAAATAATAATACAAATACCCCCTAATTTACCTAACCATGCGCTCATCAGAGTCTTAAAAGGGATTAAAATAAGGGTAGCCCATTGTTATGTTTCACGAAACCAGGCGGCATAGGTCAAAATTCTTAAGTTCACCAGACCTTTTAGCTACCGGCTGTTTAAAATCACAGAAAACTTCCATAAAATTTTGGATTTATTACTCCGTGTCGATTGCGATTTTACTATAATATATTTTAGTTAGAAGTAAGGGAATTTTAATAAAATTCTTTTTGAAAGTTTGTGTCGAAAAATTCCTAATTTCCATACCCCTCCTATTGGTTAATGACTAAATAGAGCACACTGTTGGATGTATCATAAAATCATACTTTTTTCTGCATTTAGATACATTATTTAAATGGTAAAATTACATTTTTAAAAAAACCATACATTTTCAAATTTTTGGGAAGATATAACTATATAGAGGGTTGCCTTTTATATTTTGGGATTGGACAACCCTAGCGTTGCAAACTGTCAACTGACAGCTCTGTCGTAAAGTTTGACATTTTTGAGGTTATGCGTACTCAGAACGTTTTGACATACGAGCGCTATTTGTGTTGTTTACAGTAACTTAAAAGATTAATTTCGGCCAAAAAGGAGTTAAATCGTGAACATTTTCGTGTGATTATTTTTTACCACTTTCGACGTGGATTAACTCAGCAACAGTGCATCGATGAACTTAATTCAATTTTTGGCGATAAAGCTCCATCAAGGACCAGTGTTTATCGATGTTATGGTGAATTTAATCGAGGTTGTAGTTCAATCCAAGATGAATTTTGTGAAGGTCGTCCAAAATCAGTTGTTGTTCCGGAAACCATTGATGCTGTGCGCGAACTGATATTGAAAGCGTCATGTGACCTATCGTGAGATTGAGACAACCTTAGGCATTAGTGGGACCAGCATACATTCAATATCGCATAAATATTTGACTGTAAAAAAAATTTGTTCGCGTTGGATCCCACATAATTTGTCAATCGTTCAAAAAAAGGCTCATGTCGATTGGTCGAAATAAATGCTCAAAAAATACGATCGCGGTGCTTCTAAACACGTCTGTGACATGTGACGAATCGTGGATTTATGTGTATGAGCCCGAAAGTAAACAGCAGACGACTGTATGGGTGTTTCAAGATGAGCAAATCTAACAAAAGTTGTTCGCGCACGAAGCACTTCCAAGCAAATGGTCGCCCGTTTTTTTCGGAAAAACTGGACATGTCGCAACCGTACCACTAGAATAACGCAGTACAGTCAATTCTAAGTGGAACACAAACATTTGTTTGCCAGTTGTCTTCCAAAATATGAGGAAATTCAACCGCCGAAGACTCTTTACCATGACAGTGCAAGCTCTCACACATCGACTCAAACAAATGCATTTTTGTCCACTCAAAACGTCGATGTGGTGAGCCATCCGCCGTATAGTCCTGACTTGGCACCGAATTACTTCTTTTTATTCCCATACGTACGTAATAAACTGAGAAGTCAACGTTTTTCGACACCTGAAGAAGCGGTTGATGCATTCAGAATGCATGTTTTGGAGGTACATCAATCAGAGTGGCAAACATGCTTCGACAATTGGTTTAAACGCTTGCAGAAGTGATAGATCTTCATGGACAATATTTTGAAAAACAATAAAGCGATTTTCGATGATTAATATTTGTTTTTGTTCTCTAATCCCGAAATATAAAATGCAACCCTTATATTACTTCAAGCTGAATATTACGTAGCAACTTTGTATGCAATAAAAGAGTTTATTATCTCTATAAATATATGATTAATACAAGTCAAAAAATATTTCCATAATAACTGCACTTGCAACAAAATAACATTTGTAAGTTAATTTTTGATTTAGATATGTTTTTATCCAATTAAAATCAAAAATAATGCTGTATTGCTGAATTTCTCGATAAAATTACTTCTTGTATGAAGTATTACCACAGAACCTCTCTTGATGTTAAAAAAAAATGAAGTGTTGGCTGTCACATGGAGGTGATGAAAGGGATGGCTTTTTTTTGTTATAAAGTGCCTCGATTAGAATAAATCGTGACTAACTGTACGAATACACATTTATAGTGGTATCTGTAGGTAGTAGTCAAATAATTGGGTTGATAAAAAGGGAGCACGTTTAAGTAATTCTTTTTTAAATAATTTTATACAGGGTAATCCCAAACTTAATGTTTCTTCTTTTAAATGGGTATAAAAGTCATTTAAATAAACAACTTAAGAAAATTATCCCAACAGCATTTTCTATAATATTTGTTCTACAGTGTGTTCCATAAAGTTGGATCCATGTTGGAATTTGTTTAATATTTCGATTGAAAAAAACGTCGTAGGTCATTCACCTCTGCTTTTTTAAAAACTTAAAATTGACCATATTAAAGTTGGCTAGGTACTGCATTAGTTATCTGTCCAATGCGGTATTTTTTGAAAAATCGATCAAGATTTTTTTTTAAATGCGAATTTGACAGAAAACTAATGTCAGTAGTCAACTTTGATATGGGCTATTTTAAGTGCACATGTGATTGTCCTACGACGTTTTTGTCCAGTCATAATATTAAAAAAATCCCATATTGATCCAACTTTATGGCACACAATGTATACATGATTTCTCTAAAATGGACTGTAATGGAAAAATTTGAGGAAAAGTGTAAAATTTTAATTATTCAGTATTTTCGTTGGCAACGAATTTAAATAAAACAATAATTTGAGTAAGATGCGTGTGGAAAATGATTGTTCATCCTCTAATTATTTACATGGGTGGTGCAATAGGTTGTACAGAATATTCCGGAAAAAGCTTACAATAACTTTAGGTAAGGCAGGAAAGTCATTTGTTCGACACATCAGATTTTTTTAATAGTCATAATTGATCTATGATGCGGTCTGTGGCTTATTTGCAAAGGAGTCAACACGGGGACACAAGGACGTACTAGACAGTATTCAGGTAGAGAGGTCAAGCAATACTATTTTTTAGAAGTGATACAAGGATAATTAAAAATGTATTCAATTTGTTTTGAATTTATATGTATTTCCAAACTATATTCCAATTTAAAATTATAGAATTACCCTCTAAATTGAAGAACAGCTTCCTAATGTTTTATCCTATATATCCAAGAAAAAATCATAAACGGATTATTTTGTAGGTAAATCATTTCCAAAATTAAACAACAGATAACGTTTAATTTTTTTTTGGAACGTCAACCATAATTAAATTTAACAAAAGCACAACAGAGTAAAATTGAAAAAAAAAAGTGGCATAGCGTACTTGATTAATGTTACTCTTTAAATTTTTTTAGTATTTTTCAAAAAACAAAAAAACACCCAAAAAAAATGTTAAGTTTCTTATTATAAGGGTTTGCAAATATTTTATTGATTATTTAAATGTAATGAACAAAAATAGCTACTGCATCTTTACATATACTCACATTATCATCTTGTCGATCACAGTCAATATGGTTGCATCTGAGGCGCGATTGCTTGATCAGATTTTGCCTGGTTATGTGCAACTCTTTTTCAAGCATCTCAATTTTTCTCTAAAAGAATATTGGTAAAAAAAGGTTTTAAATCGTTATAACAATGGTAAAATAAAGATAAGAATAAATTAGGCGAACTAAAATCTATAAAAAATAATTAATATGACAAATATTTCAAAAAAAAAAAGATAAAATAATGGTGAGTAAAAAAATTTAACTTACATTATTTTCTTCGATAATTTGATTCAGCCTTTCTTGTACAACAGACCTGAGGATAACCAAGCCGTCCTCGCCTAGGGGATTCTGGTAGGTATAAATGTTCTGTTGCTGCGTCAAATTGTGCAAGGAATTGTCCCAGCCATTACTGGTCGTCGTCAGATGTGGAGAATTCGAATATTTCGAACTGTCTCTATCTTGGGTGGTGTTGACGTTGCCGTTACACCGATTACTAAAAGTTAATGTTCTATTAAGTCAATATTCTTCTGCTTTTTGATAAAGAGACGGCAATATTCATACGGCGGTATTGGTAAATTATTTTGTAAGATTTTACAAATGTACTGGGTGTCCGAAGAAGACAGAACGCTAGGGCGTCACGAAAAATGTCTATGCAATATGAAATGATTTTATCAGATCAATATGTGACATATTAGCCCCATGCATGACAGCAGCGCCAACTAATGCATGAACTAAATGGCAATATTTGCGTATATTGACAGTATAATTTTAAATATATTTTTTGGTTTTAATAAAATTGGATTTACAAAACGAGTCAGAAGTATATTTTCATTGCTTTAGTTAAAAAAAGTAAGTATAATCAATAAAAAAAATAATTAAAACATAGGCAACAGTATTTAAAAGAGAGTGTATAAAAGTTGCCTAATGAGTTGTCCTTCTTAGATGGTGTAATGTTTACAACCTCAATGTTGAGTAAAAGAACGCAGAGATTACAATTTTCATATTTTTGACTTAATTTGACATTTTATGCAAAAATAAACAATTTTATCAAGATAATTAGGCTCCCTAGACGCGAAGATTATCATTATTATTGTTTAGAACAGGCAAGCGACATAGTCGATGAAGTTGCTCTTTTAGTTAGCGACACAAATTATTCTAAATCACTACATGACAGTTAAAATTCAATACACTATAAACTATAATGAATAAAACTATTTTTTCTTTCTTCGAGTTCTATATCCACTTGAACGCCTTGAACTGGTTTATGTTCTGGGCTGAGATTGTATGTTGCTGGAGACCGTTCCACAGATATACAATTCTGTTACGAAATTTTTTCTTTGCAGTTTATTACACTTTTCTTTATCTAATTTCTTCGAGTGACCTCTCAAGGTTCTTGGTGTGCTGGCCTGGAAGATCTTATCACAGGTGTAATGTCTGCTGGTCCACTTGTAGGTTTCTATTAAGTCTCCTCTAGTTCTTCTATCCTTTAAGTTGTAGTTTGACTAGCCGATCACAATACTTATTGTTCTTTAGGGTTGGTGGTATTTTGGTGACTCTCCTTTGTACTCTTTAAAGCAATTCAATGTCTTTCACAAAGTTTTTATCCCAGTCGATCTGTGCAAATTCTATCTTTAGTCTTACGTAAGTTGTATACAGTTTGAGGATCATATCTTCAGAATGGTCTTTAAAAGCTCTTTTGATAGGGTAAATGAGACTATTGACTATATTAGCAATGTTGGTTTCCCATATAAGTTGATTTTTCATATTTGTTTCATAGTCTTAATTTTGCAATTCCTCGAATAGCTTCCAGGAACACCCGTACATTTTACTTGAATACACCCAGAACAATGTTCTCTTAAAATCCTCTATATACACATACACCATGTGTAATAATTATGAATCAGTAAGTTGCCAGCTTGATTTGTTTCATAGTTCAATTCATAATATTAGGTGTTATATAGAAAAATAATTATCTTAGCTTTTTTTTCTCACCTGCTGTTCAATCAATTAGTATATTTTTTTCTAAATTAATTGTATTTATATATTATTGTACTCTTACTGTACAGTATTTCGACTGGAGTAATTGCGTTTGTATCTAAGGTGTACTGTGTGTGTGAATTATTTGGGCCTATGTGCAATACTGTACACTTGTTTATATTGAGAGGTAGTAGCCTTTGTTGGGACCAGGTTTCAATTTTATGCAGGTCTTGTTTCGTTTTATGAGAGCTTTCCAGTGGCTTGCAGTAGATCTTTCCATCATCTGCATAAAAGTTGGCTTCAGATTCGATGATTTTGAATAAATCGCTAGAGTATAAAATAAATAACAGGGGACCCAAGACCGAGCCTTGTGGTACTCCACTTTGAACTGGGAGGTTCTTTGAGAACTGTCCATTTATTCTTATGCAAAACTTCCGATAGAATAAGAAACTCTTGATCCACAATGTTTCAGTTTGATAAGCAGCCTTCTATGTGGAACTTTATCAAAAGCTTTCTCATAATCAAGATAAATCACATCAGTTGGCTGGTTGTTGTCATTCCAAGCTGTCCACTGCTTAATTGCACTTGGAAGATTTGTAACGGCGGATCTTTCGGGCATAAATCCATGCTGAGAGTTTTACCAAGCCTCTGTTTATTTATTTGTTTATTTATTCACGGGTAACCCCATTTAAAAAAAAAATACAATATTAAGTAGAATAAAAACAGCAAAATAAATACTGAACTAAACACTTAACTAATACTAATATAGGTAATATAAAATAAAAAAAGATTTACAGAATTGGCTAAATTCAAAGAATATTAAGTTCCATCCCGGTTCTGTAAGAAAAGAACTGTATCATTTGTGTTCCCTTCATAAAGAGAAATTCAAAAAATATGAAATTGATGAAATTGCAAAAAATCGTGGGATGACGGTGGTTAGATCACCACCATATCATTGAGAAGTAAACTCGATTGAACTGATATGGGCACAGATGAAGGGAGAAGTTTCAAGAAAAATAATTCTTTTAAAATGAGTGATGTTAAACAGTTGTTTTTGGAGGCTGTAAATAATGTGAAGCCTGAAAACTGGGAAAAGGCAGTAAATCATACGATTAAAGAAGAGAAAATGTGGAAGTTGGACAATATTACTGATGAAATGATCGAGCCACTCATTGTAAATATTGGTCACGACAGTTCTGATTTCGATTCTGATTTGGATTTGTAGGTAAGAAGTAGTTTTTATATTAAAATTATTATTTATGAACGTAACGTTGTTTAAAAGTCAAAGTTTAAACCCTTATACCTACATAACCCGTTTGACACAATGTTCTTAACATACCTTGTGGAAAAATAAAACATTTTAGAAAAAATTGCACTTTTTTACCTTCAGCTGTTTAGAAGTTATAAGCAGGTTAATTAGGTGAAAATATAAGTGTATACTCGAGGAACAACTTCAAAAAATATTTTAACTGTCTACTAAAAGAAGTGATACGCCTATGGATTACGAACGCTTTATTATTTTAATACTCATACATAAAAATAGACTATAGAGTGGAAAATTATTTTAATTTGCCTGACTTTATTTAGGTCATATTTTTCTAACAGGTAGAATTATATCTCTTTGGAGAATGTTACATTGCATTCTTGGATAGCTTTTGTTACTTTGTCTTTTTCTTCTGCGTTACGCTGGTCTATATTTTGGTTTCTAGTTTCTGGAACTCCAAACAATAGGACATATTGAGATATTTGTTGTCTATCATGCATTTCTCTAAAAAATACTTCACTTTGTGGTCCTTCTTCCACGTTACTGCTTCCTAAATTTTCAGTTTTATTCACTCGTTTTGTTTCTTTTAATCATCTTATAAACATTAAATAGGTTTTATCAAAAATCTCAAAGTAATTCTAATTTAAATAAAAAAGAGACATATTATACCAAAATAAATCGCTTATCAAGAAAAATAAAATTGTCTTAACATAAAAGGTTGAAACAAATTGTTCATTAACGTTTGTAAAAACTTATTAAAACCAATCAACTACTAAAACCCACAATTAATTTATAAAAATAAGTATTTTTTATATTTGTTGCAATCATAAACGGATTGAAAAAAGTTAAGGATATAGAGAATTCACCAAGAAAAACTAGTTTTCGAAAAAAGTTGTATAACGTACATTTACTCCCATCTTTTTCAAAAGTGAAACACATTTGTTTAACTGAAAAAATGTTTTAATCAGAAATTACAGGCTACTTTTCTTTAAACGTGTAACAAAACATAATTATCAAAAAGAAAAAAATTATTAATAGCGTGTAATTTCACCTCTACCCACATAACATCAATGTTCTATGAATATACCAAGAACGTTCTGTTTAAGTTCTTTTTAGTACCTATATCCTTTTAGAATGTTCTTAGAACATACCTAGAATATACTTTGAAAGTATATTCTAGAAAGTATATACTGAGTACGTGCCTTAAAAGTATATTCCAAAAAGTATATACTGAGCACGTGTTATAACAGGACATTCTTAGAAGATACTAAAAGTCATATACCCAGCATGTACCTCATATTCTGAGAATGTTCTAAATGCTTGCAGGTAAAAATTAACACCAAATACATGTAAAAACAAGTTTATATACATATCTACAGTGTGTCTACTTAAGTTGGAACCATATGGAAAACATTTTTATTACTGATTTTAGAAAAAAAAGTTATTCTTGATAAAAAGTCCTGCATGACCCAAAACTTAAAATACAGTCATCAGATATCAAATTTTTCAAGCCGTATACGAGGTTTGTCAAAAAATATTAATTTTGCTCAAGAGTAAATAAGTACGTTTATTTTTTTACAAAATCGAAAATTTTCATTAAGAAATTTGCTGAATTCTTCACAAACAACAAAAGGCAAGCGTATTATGTTTATAGTAGCTAACGTAATTTATAACGTTTTCAGATATTTACAATCAATGTGTAGAGTGTAGAGTTTATAAAAAATAAGAAAGTCTGTTTTTTCAGATTTATACGGCTTCAAAAATTTGATATGTGATGACTGTATTTTAGGTTTTGGGTCATGCAGGACTTTTTATCAGGAATAACTTTTTTTTCATAAAATCAATAATAAAAATGTTTTCCATATGGTTCCAACTTAAGTAGACACACTGTATATGAATTTTTCCCAGATGCCGATCTAATAATTCACTACCAAACGCACCAATGTTGAATGTTTAGGCCAAAAAACATTCTTAAACTAAAATAGAAGAAAAGAAGAAGAATAACATAACCTACAATTCCTACAAATTTTTTTGATCTCGTCTGTTTGTAAGAGGTAAGTCAATTAATAAAAATTAATTGCATCGTATGTTCTATATGTTCGACAAAAATATTTAAAATATTCCATTAGCTATGTACACTTAATTTGTATATGTACCAAGTTTGTTCATTTTTTTTATTTTTTAGGTTCAATGAAGATCCAATGGAATCAAGCAAATGAAACTCAAGCCATCGATACAATAAAATATTGATTGAATAAGGCCAAAGATAGTATTTGTAATAAAAATAAGTATGAATTCTTTGAAATAAAGACTCATTATATACACTTATTCTTTAATGTTCAATATTAATTAAACATCCTGTATTAAGGTGTCTAGTATATGCCTAGCATATACTTAGAACATACTATCAAATTAAAGTAGATAACTGTTGCATACTGTACACATACTTGAAGTACATTCTCAGTATCTGCATAGCACGTATAAACAACGTCACGTAGCATATTCTGAGAATGTACCAAATGCAAATACAGTATATTCTCAGCATATGCATATTCTTAAAAAGTATATACTAAGAATATTCTAAGAATGTATAATTGTTATCTGGGTATTGGCTATTACTGCTTCAGCTCGGCGAGGCATACTTAAAATTAAATGATCCAAATCATTTTGATCCAAGGTATTCCACAGATGTGGAAGAACTTGCCTCAGTGACCTTACGTCCTGAACAGGAGGTTGATGGGCAATAACTTCCATTCCCAGCAATGTCCCAGGCTTGTTCGAAGCAGTTTAAATCAGGAGAGAGCAGGGGAAATGGCAAATTATTGATTTCATGGAATGCTAGCCGATCTTTACTACCCTGGATCTGTGTGGGCAAGCGTTATCATCCAGAAATCTAAAATTGGGCTCCAAATTCCAGCGATAATCATTCACCAGGTTATCAATGATGTCGTGGGCATAAATTTCGCCTGCCATGGTATCTTCACAAACATACAACTCCGTTCAGCCTCCGTAGAAAATTCCACCCCAGACCATTACACCTCCAACTCCAAATGAATGCACTTCTTGAATATATTGGTCATTAACTCTTGAGAATTTCTTGTTCTCCAGACACGAACTGTACGTCTATCAGCACAAAGGCAAAAGCAACTTTCATCACTAAACATCACAGTGCGCCATTCAGCATTCCAGTTGGCCCTTTCATTACACCAAAGCAAACGTTGTGCTTTATGGACTGCGGTCAGTGGAGGGCGTCTTATGGGTATATAGCAAAGTAAACCTGCTTCATTCAATCGGTTTAAAGCTTTTCGGCTGGCAACGAAAAGGTGCTGACTGAGCAAAGTGCAGTTTGTTGTAGGATCCATCCTGGCTCCTCTCACTAATCTTCGGTCTTCCCTAGCATTTGTCGATCTTGGTCTACCCTCCTTTCTCGCTTGTCCATGAGAGATCCAGTCTCATCTCATAAAATCTGTTATTAAGTCGAGAACTTACACTTTGAGACATTATACCGATCAGCCACATCGATCTGTGCACCAATAACTTGATTTGCTTCCTCTACCGTTAAATGACGTCTATTCATTTTGTCGATAGCAGAATAACCACAATATCGCAAACTGCGCTTAGCAGTACACAAACGAAACTAAACTTTACAAAAATAAAATCTACATTTTTTGTGATAATGCTTTTTATCTGTTTGGGCACAATTTTATATGCTTACAAACAACATTTTTTTAACGCAAATGACATAGGTATTAATAGTTCAATCAAATAGACCTTTAAATCAAAATTTTGGAGGAAATACAGGAATTTTTGATATAAGTCACTTTAGAGTATTTGAAAACGATAGGTAAAAAAAAATTGTTTTTCAGGCACCGGCAATGTCAAAAAAATAAGAAAATAAAGTGTTTTTTTAAGGTTATTTAAAAACGGTAGGTGCTATAAAAAAAGTTTTGAATAAAAATTATAAAGCATAAAGTTTTACATGAAAATGATATTTGACATTTTTTGATATTATTAAAACTGACAGAGTTAGGGTGGTTAGAAATAAAAAAATATATATGACTTGGAAAAATCATAGCGAGCTGAAAATTCAATGATTTTGTAGTTTCTTTTTATTATTTACTTAGAAAATTATAAATTTATTTAAGGAATTTTTTTTTTGTTTTTTTGAGTTACTTATAACAATTTTAATTTAGAAATTTTCAATATATTATACGAATTTATATGGTAAAATAAATTTTGAAGTAAACTTATTGGCTTGACTGACATGAAAAATATTAGGAGTAAACTTATAAAAACGATATCCCGTCAATTTGGTCCCCACTTAAAGTTCCATTAAATAAATAAAAATAAAAACAAACAAAAAAGAACTAAATAAAAATATTAAAAAAAATAAAACAGAACAATAAAAATATAAAAAATTAATAAATAAAAATAGGCAAATTAAAAAAAATATAAATAAAGTAAATAAAAATAAATATATAAATAAAATTAAACAAAAATAAATAAAAATATATAAAAATTAATAAAATAAATAAAAATAATTAAAAATAAATAAAAATTAATAAAAATAATTAAAAATAAATGAAAATTAAAAATAAATAAATATAATTAAAAATAATTAAAACTAAAAACATAAATAAATAAAAATAAAAAACAAATGAAAATAAATTAAAAAAATAAAATAAAAAACTAATTAAAAAAATCAAATAAAAATAGGTAAATTATTAAAAATAAAATTTAACAAAAATAAATGAAAAGATAATAAAAATAATTAAAAATAGAAATTAAACAAAAATAAATAAAAAACAAATATAAAAGAAAGTAAATAAAAATAAATAATAAAAATAAAAAACATTAATTTTCATTTTTTATTATTTATTTTATTTTTATTCATTTTTATTTATTTTTATTTATTTTTATTTATTTTTGTTTAATTTCTATTTTTAATAAATTACCTATTATTATTTATTTTTTTAACTATTTGTAATTATTTTTATTTATTTTTTTATTGTTTTTTATTTTTATTTTTTTCTTAATTATTTTTGTTTAATTTCTATTTTTAATAAATTACCTATTTTTATTTATTTTTTGAACTATTTGTAATTATTTTTTTATTGTTTTTTTTTATTTTTATTTATTTTTTTAAATTATTTTTATTTATTTTTTATTGTTTTATTTTTTTTTAAATATTTGTTACTACTTTTATTTATTTAATTTTTTGGTTTATTTTTTAATTATTTTTTTAAATTTTTTTTTTATTTTTATTTATTTTTATTATTAAAATAAAAGAAAATATCATGATATATATCTGATATTTATAATTTTTAAAATTTAATTATTTAGTTAAAAAACAGTATTGTTTCTTGTACAAACTACATTTTAAATTTTAAAAAACAACAAAACCGTTTATTCTAACTCAAATTAAAAAGAAAAACAAAAATAATTAATAAAATAAACAGATTTTAACATTATTTTATCAACATTAATATTTAAACACAGACACATATAAATCGTTAGTTATTATACTTTTAAACAGGGACGTATTGAGACATTTTCGGATGTTCAGAATAGTGGAAAACATTTTTAATTTAATAAATAAAATTATCGAATATATCGGATATATATCAAGGTATAAATATCATGATATATATCGTGAAATATATCATTTGATATATATCCTCCGAACCCTGATTTTTTCTATAAAAATTCCTTCATAGTGAATACACAATATCCTTAACTTTTTTCTATCATTTTAGAAAAATTAAAAAAATAAAATGAAAATACTTAAGTTTCTTTATACCTGTAAACAAATGCCAGTCATTTGTAATAATGTATAAATAAGTGCTTACGGTGAGTGCATTAGTTGGTGCTGTGATCTAAATTTCAGACCCCTATATCGTTAATAAATACCGTGATGGTAATAGAGCTAAAATACTTACGGACAAATGCTTTCTTCCCCAACAAGCGTCTCAGTACTGGTCTCATTCGACCTCTCCATATCTAAAAAAGTCTCCACAACGTCCGCAGTAGCCAACGCACTCGAATTATCACTCTCTGAAATGTCTTTTTCCTTATCACTTAAACAAGAAGTCTCGTCATCCCCTCCGCTATTATGATTTATATCACCCATTCCGACAGTCTTTTCTTTATTTTCGCGAAAAAACTCCACGTTCGCGTCGCTAGTAACAGACAATTTGGCGATCTCGCTCGCCAGCACGCCACTGTAGTCTTTAGATTTTGATTCCACCGTCGGAGAATCCCGACACATTTTCGTCGACAGGGGCAGGGGATCCCCAAAGTCTGTAGATTCCAGTTCGGCCATTTGGTCGATGGTGGTGCTGCTTGAGTCGCCGTTGGTGTCACCATTGAACATGCAGTCCTGGTTGCAATCTCCTTCGTCCAAGTAGTTGGCGAGGAAGTTCTGTTGGTTGGAGTTCAGGTGGTCCGTGTGAACGTTTAGATTCGGGTTGTTGGCGATCAGAGCTGCCAGTTTCCTATTTTAAATATTTATTTTTTGTTTACATGCGATACAATATTTATAAAAGGTAAATATCGATTAGGGATGTGCACGATGTATTGATGTTAAGAAAACATCGATTTTTAGGTTTCGATTATCGATGTTCAACATCGATGTTTTTTAATCCGATGTTATTAGTTAACATCGATTTTTATTTATCCGATGTTATTTGTTAACATCGATTTTTCAATAAACATCGATGATTTTCTTTTCAATGTTTTTTGGTTTTTTTGTGAAGCGTCACGGTTCATTTGATGGTTTGAATTCCTTTTTTTCTTTTTTTGCTCTTCAATGAACGCTTTTGGCAAACATTGATGTATTAGAAAAACAAACATCCATGTATGGAAAAACAAACATCGATATTTAGAAAAATCGATATTTTCTTTTCCGATGTGATTATTACAGTTATGGGTACCATGAAAGAAACGGTTGCATCATCCTTTAGTATTCATTCAAACATAACACCAACGTTTAAATGGAATAGATCATTCGAGTTTTCATAAAACAAAAATTTTCCATACTAGCGTGTGAAAGTAAAATGAAGAATATATTTTTGTCCACACTAGTGAGGGAAAGTACATCTTTCTAAACTGATATTTCGGAAAACGTAGTTGTACCATGAATTTTACAACTAAAGAAGAACTTTTTTGTTATGCAAAAGTTATGCTTATGTAATAATAGAGAACAAAACTGATTAAAACAACAGGTTGGAGTCGAATTCTTTCACATTAAAACTAATGGGTAGGGATGGCAACGATATATCGATGTTTTGTAAATATCGATATATTTTACAAATATATATGTTAATCGATATTTTACTACCGATATATCGAAAAAAATATCGATTTAATTTTTTCGATATATCAAAAACATTATTAATAAAGCGCGCGCTCGTACGCATGCGACATTGATGTTGATTGACGCTGGCAGCTAACAAGTCACTGCGTGTTTTTTTTTGTGTTTGGTTTATTGTGTGAATCTGCATATTTTTTAGTTTTGTTTTCGGTGTCCCTTCTACGCCCGATGTCTATTTTGATAAAGTGGAAATTAAGCAGTTGCTTCAATAAATAAGGCATAAATATACCACATTCTCAAAAAAAAATACACATTCATGGTTTTGGCATTGTAGCGACGATATTGGAAATGATGACGGGTTTTCAAAACTATTTCAATCTAAAAAAACCGGAGACTACCATGAATATATGAACGCTGATGTTTTTGAAGAATATTTTCAGCAGATGTTAGAACATTTACCAAAGGGTTTAGTTATAGTAATGGATAGCGCTAGTTGCCATTCCCGTCTAATTGGACGTGTGCCAAATACTTCATGGAAGAAAGATGATATCATTAAATGGCTAATAGACAGAAACATTAACTTTCCAGAAAAATCAATAAAAATAGAATTACTAGAAATTGTGAAATTAAATAAGCCTCCAGTACGTTATGAAGTGGATGAACTTACAAAAACACATGGTATTGATGTTGTGCGTCTTCCTCCCTATTGCTGCAAACTAAATCCTACTGAAATGATATGGACCCAATTTAAAAGATATGTAGGTCGACATAATATGACATTTAAGTTGAAAGATGTAGAAGCATTGTTAGAAACCTCCATATCACTTGTTATGAAGGCAAATTGGCAAACGGCAAAATAAAAAATTGGCCTTAGTCAACCAAAAAATGTTTTTCAAGGGTGAGTGGCGAAAGGACTCACCTAAAACAAGTACCCCAGCGGTTAAATTGCAATTATTTAAGTTTAAAATGCTAACAAAAAAAATAATACAAACACCCCCTAATTTATCCAACCGTACGTTTATCAGAGCCTTAAAAGGGATTAAAATAAGGGTAGCCCATTAATACGTTCCACAAAACCGGGCGGCACAGGTAAAATCCCTAAAATCTACACCTTATAACTGTCGGCTGTTTAAAATCACAGATTTTGTTTGAGCCGCCTGTGCTGTGAAACTCCCATAAAATTGTGGTACATATGCATACCACAAAAAAACGTTGGTGGTACAAATATATACCATCAATTAAAAAGTTCTCCAATTGACTGATTCATGCTATTCGTTCGGCTGGTAACATGACACAAACAAGCGATTCATACCTTAAAAGCATTCTATCTATCTACAGATACTAAATTTGAAATATTTTTTACGAATTTATAAATTTTCTTCTCTAAAATACGGGAAAAATCTATTATTGCGGTTATAATGTATATTTTTTCTCCCAGTTTTACTGATTTCTATAAAAATAAACCAGGCCATCATTCGGTATAATAATTTAAAATGTTTGGTAAAAGAAAAACTTGCAAGGATGTAGGAGTTAATTTTTAATAGCCAATTTAGATTAATACATAACAATGGCCCGGTGAATGCTTACTTCAGACACACATTTGTATCGGTTTTGCATTTTAATTTGTATTGATAGAATACTCTTTATAAAAGGTTTTCATGTCATTACATTAACGAAATTGTGTATTGGGTGTCCAAATTTGACATTTTTAGTAATCTTCATTGACAGTATTTATATGGTGACATATGTCAAGTAAACATTTTGCGGATACTTCTTTTTTGGTCAACATGGAACTGTCCTTTAAAAACCCCGTTTTTATTGTGAAAACTTATTAACCAAAATGGCGAATGTTTTGCTGAAACTGCAAAAAGATGGCTTACGCATTTCGGAAGAAATTTAGCACCATCTGTTAAATATATTGAGATATTTACGAAGAGATATCAACAGCACAATATGCAGTGAAGAAGATCCAAGAGAAATATTGGAAAAACGACTGAATCCAGTAAATGTGACTGTGTGGTCTAGTGGCGTTATTGGTCCTTATTTTTTCCAGAATGAAGCTAGGTGAATCGAAAACTGTAAATGGAGCGCGATACAGGACAATAATTACTAGATTATTTGTGGAACGAATTAGAAGATATGGACATCCAGAACATGTGGTTCCAGCAAGACGGTGCCACTTGCCACACATCAGATAAAACACTAAATCTTTTAGGGGAGAGATTTGGCATTCAAATAATTTCTCGAAGAGCTGAGGTTAATTGTCTGCCTAGGTCGTGCGACCTTACACCATCGGATTATTTCTTGTGGGACTTTTTGAAGGGAAAAGTTTATGCTAATAACCCTCAAACACCTGAACAGCTTCGAGTTAACATTATTCAGAAAATTAAAGAAATTGAACAAAATGTTTTTGCAAAAATGTTCTTGAAATTTTTGAAAAAAGAATGTTAACATGCTAAAGAAGCAGATGGGTCACATGCCGGATATCATTTTTCATTAATAACTGTAACATTTAAACTTTAAAATAATATTATTTCAAGGACTATTTTTGTTTTATTATTAAATTAAATTCGAAGGTCAAATTTGGACACCCATTACAATGCATTTGTTAATGAAGAGGTCAAAGTGAATTTAACTGCCTATTGTACAACCCGCCGCATTTTATTGGCTATCTACTTACGGATCACATTTGATACTAGGATCGCTGGACCGCCTGTAGTGATATGCGCAATTTTCGCCATCGTTAATCAAATCCCCGTACGATCTCGTTTTCGTCATATAACTCGGCGAAGATTCGCGCGTTTCCGGATAAAAGTTCGAGCACTCCTCAATGCTGTATTCCTCCTCGATGGAACCCAAATACAGATCGTTCCATAAGCACAAGTCTCTGATGTTGCACTGCGGCCATAGAACCTTCAATTCAAAACATAACTAGACATTTACTTAATCGGTATAACACTTATGTATTACTCTACTTACCCTTCTATTGAATATGTTCGCACTGGCCGAATATAAATTGTTTCTGAAACAAGGCGAATTCAAGAAATCCCAAATAGAAAATGTCTTCCCGTAAACGATCTTCGAACGCTCCCGCTGCGTGTTACACAAAAACGTTCCAAACAAATTTGAATACACATGTTGAACTAATTTAACCTGAAATTATATAATAATGAAATATAACCGTATTTCGGCGTATACTTTATCTAATACGAATTGAATATTTTAACTAAAGGCTGCATGTCACGATACTAAATTAAGCACTAAATTTAGAACTAAAAATATTTTTTTCTACTACCGAGCGTAAAGTACGTACTTTACGCACTCCACGAAGTGTGTAAAGTTGTACTTTTTTTCACTAGTGCGTAAAGTAAAACTCTTTATGCACTAGTTAAGAAAAAGTAAAATTTGACAAAATTTGTACATAACAACAAAATATAACGTTTTATTTTATATTAACATTTTTTTGCTATCTCCTTCTAAGACAAATAAATAAATTATTTTTGCTTATATCTATTTAGTGTCCAACAAATTATCAACAGTTTATTTTAATTATAATTTTCTCTAAATGTCATCGATTTAATTAAAAGTAAACATACAGTGGATGTCGATTTTGGTAAAAGTAAGTTGGCCGTGGCTGTGTGGATTAGAAGAACTGTCAATCTCTAAACTTTTAATTAGTACCTACCTTATAACAGAACACGACAAAAGTATACTTATGTTCAAGATTAGATTCTAAAGCCAATTTAGCATTTTTTTAAACTCAATCAAGTTTGAGAAGGTAAAAAGTTTTACTTTTTAATGTTTGTTTACTTAAATTCAAATTTTATTTGCAGTTTATTATATCTGTCATAATCGATATGGATTCAAATTTATCTAGCGATAGCGAATTCGATAATACTCCCCCAGATATCTTATGCAGTGCACAAAAGGCCACTGAAAATTTATTGCCAGAAAAATCTGCATATATTTATCAGCAAAAATACAATGCATTTATAGAATGGTGTAGGAAGAATAAGGTGACAAAATATTCGGAAAACGTTATTTTAGTATATTTCTCTGATGAATTGAAGAATTGCAAAGCTTCTACCCTATGGTCGATTTATTCTATGCTTAAAAGCACCTTAAAATATAAAAACAACGTTGATATTTCGAAATTCAACAAGTTAATAGCGTTTCTCAAACAAAAAAATAAAGGTTATAAACCAAAAAAATCCATAAATTTTTGAACGAGAAGATCTAATTAATTTTCTGTTGAAAGCTCCAGATTCCAAGTTTTTAATGATCAAAGTAAGTAAATGCTTGAATGCTCAGTATAAAATTAAAATATTCTGTAAAGTTTTGCAACGAGATGTGTGTTCGTATGGTGTGTTGCCTAACAAAATCAGTTGCTGTCCTAACAGGCCACCGGGGTTGTTAGGCAGCACATTATACCTAAAACTTTTATGTTTTTTACAATAGCATTTATTTGGAGTTTTACATGCGCAACGTCAAGATATTTCCTAATGTTTAATAAATTATTTGTAACATTACAATATGTTATTTTTTAGGTAGCTTTTATAATTGGAATTGCGGGAGCTTGTCGCCGGGAAGAATGATGTAAAATGACAATTAACGATGTGGAAGATAAACAAACAGTGTATATTGTCAAAGTATCAGAAACCAAAAATGGAATAGAACGCATTTTTACGATTTTAAATCCAAATAATTCTGCAGTTGATTATTTATCTTTCATAAAAAAATATACCTCATTAAGACCATCAAATATAAATTGTAACAGATTTTTTTTAAAATTCGCAAATGGAAAATATTCTAAACAGCCTGTAGGGATAAATACTCTTGGTAAAATGCCAAGTGTTATAGCAACGTATCTAAACTTGCCCAATCCAACGGCTTTTACAGGACACTGCTTTAGGAGGTCTTCAGCCACTATGCTGGCAAATTCTGGAGGAGACCTTCTAACGGTCAAAAAACATGGAGGATGGAAATCATCTGCTGTTGCAGAAGGCTACGTAGACAGCACAATAACACAAAAAAAACAAAATTTCTAATAAAATTTTGATGGATGACAGTATGCCATCCACTTCCAAACAAAGCTACAATTTTACCGTTGACAACTCTAATGAAGAATTAGTGGAACCACTCGACAGTGAAACTAGAGTTACACAAAATATTTCAACCTCTTTACTTGAAAAGGCCAAATCCATACCACTCGAAGCTCAAAATAGGGTTACAGAAGTAATATCACAACATTTTTCAAACTCTGTGCTGGAAAAGGCCAAAACCTTAAGTTTTGGTAATTGCAATAATTGCACATTCAATATTAATATTCATAAAAGTTAAAAACCTATTTTTTTAAATATTTCTTCATTTGTTAGTCATTTTGTTCTGTAAGAATTATAAATTTGTAAAGTTCCAATAAATTTATTTTTGTTGCTGTGTACAATTTTTGGCACATTTTACTTTTTTTCACTAGTGCGTAAAGTAAAATACTTTTATATTTCTAATATTAGTGGATTATGTGTACGGTAGTAGAAAAAATATTGTATGCCACTCGTGTGTAAAGTCCCTTTTTTGACTCATGTGATTGTCGCACTCGCCTACGGCTCGTGCGACAACATTCACATTCGTCAAAAAAGGGTAACTTTACACACTTGTTGCATAAATAACTATTTTCCGTTTGCAACGACACCAATTTTTAGTACTAAATTAACTATAGGCGCACGCGCATTGACGTATTGATACGTGAAATTAGCAGAGAAATTAAATAGGGGTCTATTCTGTAACAATTCCTTTATATTTTAACGGCCGTTAAAATATTGGCGGCCTTTAAAAATATTTTCCTATTTTCTAATTTACTTCTGTCATTATTTAAACGGATTTCTTTATAATAGTTCTCTAATATATTGTGAAGGAATCCGTTTAAATAATGACAGAAGTAATTTAGTAAATACGAAAATATTTTTAAAGGCGTTCAAAAACTAGTGAGGGTACAGGTTATGCTGTTTTCATCCCCGATAAATATGTAAAAAAAAAATAAAATCCACAACTTTTGTACAGTATACTCCGCTGAGATTATGGCTATAGAAAATGCGTTGGAGTGGTTGATGCTTAATCCCTCCAATGCTTTAATAATGTCAGACTCTAGATCTGCTTTAGAGGCTATAAAAAATAGTTCATCCTTTTCCAGTTTTGCTATGTCAAACACTATTTGTGACGTCAAAAAATTACTTCAAGACCTGCATAATTTAGAATGTACAATTCATTTCGTATGGGTGAAAGGACACGCAGGGATTCCAGGTAACAACACTGTTGATTTCTTAGCAAAGGAAGCTACATCTCTCTCAATCACTCCTTATCATTTCATAGATTATATGGATTCGATAAATGTTGGAAAAAATCAGGCCCATAAAATGTGGGAATCAGACTGGGAAAAATTCGTAGATAGGTCCAATAATCATTATACTTATATACATCCCACCTTATCTAAAAAAATCTCGCACATTAGCGAATTTAATGTAAATAGTGCTTATTCTGTAACTATCACATGCCTTAAGTTAAATCACGGAAAATGTCCAGCTCACCTACATAGAATAGGTATCTTAAATACTGACGTTTTTTCTTGCGACAATAATTCTACTGCTGATTTAAATCACATCATTTTTTTATGCAAAAATCACCAAAAAAGTACCGAATTACTAGAAGCTATAAGAAATAAAAATTGCCCCACCCCCATTAATTTAACATCCTTATTAAGCAATGACAATAAAGACATCTTTGACTTATTGGTTAATTTTTTACGTTCAATTAAATTAGACCTATAACTCCAAATTTTATTATTTTATTACCTTTTTCTTTTTCTACTACGCATCTGTGGCAAATGAAATCCATCCAATGCCAACAACCACACAAAAAAAAATTTTTTAAAGGCCTCCAATATTTTAACGGCCGTTAAAATATAAAGGAATTGTTACAGAATAGACTCCATATTCTGTGTAAAATAGAAAAGTGAAATAAATGGTGTTTTTATTATCAATTTGACATTAGTTGACTTGACAACAACCAAATACAGCAATGCTACTAAAAACCACGAAAAAAAGACAATAATAGGTTTGTTCCAACACAATAGAAAATCGGTTTACGTACTGTCGGGATTCTGCGCAGTCTGGATTTGGTGTTCCAACAAACTTCGGACTCAAAACTGTACAAAAACCTAGTGTTCCAACACACCCAAACCTAATCACAAACCAGTTTCTGTACTGTCAAATCAGTTCCTGGGTCTGAATATGAACGAATTGTCAAGATATGTGCAAAACGAAACTAAGCTCGTAAATAGACCACGACCAACTCTGGAAATTTCGTGATTATATTTGTTTTGATAGCTTAGATCGTAGTCTAGATCCAAAGATTATATACTTTTATCGATTATAATAGTCTTATTATTTTAATAATGTGTCTGCCAACAGAAAAATGTGTTCCAACACATCCAAGTTCCGAATTCAGACCCAATCCACGACAGGTCGTCGACTATGAGTCGTCGACAATAAGTTGTGGACTGGTTTATGTATGGTTCCAAGATTGTTGTTGAAACAAACCTAAGACCTACAAAATCAAACAAGCGAACTTTATTCAAGGCGATAATGCAAAATTGTCGCTAATTAAAAATAAAAGGGTACAGAAAATACCGCCGTATCAACTTTTTCTGTGAAAAACTTCTGCGCAACATTTCGACGCATTTTTAGTACTAAATTTAGTAGAAAATAGAACAAGTTCTAATTAATTAATTTTTTTAGTACTAAATTTAGTACTAAATTTGCTGTTTGCAACGTAAATATTTTTTAGTACTTAAAAAATGCATTAATTTAGTTCTAAATTTAGTATCGTGACAGACAGCCAAGCGGCACTTAAGGCCATATCGAGTCAGAAAGTTACATCGAGGCTGGTATGGGAATGCATCGAAGAACTAAGAACACTGGCAGACCGAAATAGAGTAAAACTATTTTAGGTGCCAGGTCACCAAGGGATCGAAGGCAACGAAAAGGCTGACGAACTTGCAAAAAGAGGGTCAGGAAGAAACACCGGAACCAGACACAAACCCAGGAGTACCAAAAAGTACAGTCCGGGGTTTCATAAACGACTGGATTCGGGAACAACAT